GCTCGAGTGCGGGTTGCCTGAACCTTATTTGCGGCCTGCCCGTTTTGGTCTGAGTTCTCACTTTCGTTTTTATGCCAGTTTTATTTTTGTTTTTTATTTGAAACATGCAATTCAATTTAGTCGTAATCGCATATTTAATTAGTTGTGCACATGCCCAGATATTTACATATTTTTCCCTTTGCCTGACATTCCACACATTTAATTTTCGAATATTTGTTTTAATTGGTTCGCAAGCTTCTACTTTATGTTTATACTATTTATGTTGATTTCATTACACTTAAATCTTTTTATTATACGCACTATATTTTATATCAACAACCATTTAAAAGCATATAAATCAATTAAAAGTAATCTAGACGACAGAGCCTGACTTTAAAATACCCTATACAAATCTGCGCACTGCCCTAACATAGGAAGGGCAAAAAATCTGCAAAAATGGCAACAGCAAGAAAATCGAAACTTTTTCGATGATTTTTTTTAATATCACGGGCAATAGCTCCGCGCGGAGATATGATGTTCCAAAACGACATAACTCCGCGCCGACCTTCCAAATCATCATGTTTTTTTTTTTCAAAATCAAGGTCGGTGCGAAAATCGAAGTCGATCTAGCCACGTCCGTCTGTCTGTCCGTCCGTCCGTATGTATGAACGCAAGGATCTCAGAACATATAAGAGCTATAGACTTGAAATTTTATATGTAGGTGCTCCTACTTCCCGCGCAGATTGATATCGATATCCTGTTTTTTTGGGCAGTTTTGGTAAATAATAAGAGCTAGAGTCCCCAAACTTGACATATAGCTTCTAAAATAGAATATATATATGCATTTGATGTTAGAAGAAGAGGGTTCGGGGTATCCCCTGGTCGGGAGCTCCCTTCTAGAACCTCTTACTTGTTTTATTATCAATTCATATTAATATTTTTACTTTTAATTTTATTGGGAAAGGCAGCAACTGGATTTCATTCATCAATAAGCTGAAGTTCGTTAAAACAAAAATATTTCGTGGAAAAAAAAAGCTTTTAGAAAAATATTCTACAGTTTTGCTTTAACATTTAACATTAAGCATGCGACTTCCAAATAAGAGTATATTTATTTAGCCCAAAAAAGTATGCTACAAATGTTTTGTTAAATCAAATAAGTGGATGGATTTTACGATTGTTTTCTACATCTCAACGGCAGCGTAAACTTATCAAACATGCATTTTAGAGTACAATCAAAATAGTGTACACTAAGACGACACTCCGCCAGTTGCTCTTGTTCCAATTGCAGCATCTGCTCATATTGCGGCTGGTCCAGCTCCACGTTTAGCTCCATTTGGGCATTGGCCACCTCGTTCTGCCAGTCCATCATGCAGCGCTCCATGCACGGCATATTGGTTGAAGGACTCGGCTGCCCGCTGATCGACTCCAGCTGCGACAAAAGGCGCTAGTACAGTAAAGGTCAAAACGACACGACTTCTACCCGCTCACATGCCACACAAACATCAAGAGCATTAAGTTCAACAATTCGTATAATTTCATGTTTGTGTTGGGCTATCACTGAAAATTTTCATTACTGACAGCTGTGTCTAGGCACTGGGCGTATGCTCATTTATGGACACTGTGCCAGCAGCTAATGCCTTTGGTTGTGCAAACAAATCAGCGAGGCAAATAAACACCCAAAGAAAGACACACACAAACAAATACACACACACACACATTGAGAGACTCCAGTAAAAGCACAGGCGACGACACAGCACTCGGATATACACAAATGCACAGGCAAATGAGGCAATCTAAGCGCTTCTTCTTGTTGTTCTTGCTGCTGTTTGCCTGCGGCACGAACTGCTGCATGATTATGACCACGCCCACAAGCCGCCCAGCGCAGCGTCGCATTGCCGCCACAATTGTTGCCGTCGCATGTGTGCCACGGGGCGTATTAGCAATGCCCACATCGGCATCTATTACAAAAAAAGTGCTGTTTATGTGCAATGCGAAACTCACCCACACACATACACACACACAGTCGGTGTGCACAACACGACCCCCGCAGGCGCACAAATAAACAAGCTGCTCTTTTCACATTTATTTCTGGACAAAAAAAAAAAACAGAAAATAAAATAAAATAAAAAGCTGGCTACAAAATTGCAGAAAATTATGCGCTCGCCTTTGCGCAATGCTAAAGCTACATTCGATATGTTCTTTACTTGGCCACGCCCACACTGCTAGCGCCCTCACGGCAGACAGCAGCAATATAAGACATTTGACATTTGTGCCTGATGCTCTACCATTTGGCCACTGATTTCCTCACTTGTTTGTACACGGACCAAGATTTGGTTACTCCATGCTTCTCATATTTACTTATCCACAAGATAAAATAGAAAATATTGTTATAGTCATAGCAATAATGTGCTCACACAGTGGGCAAACCTCGAGATCGGACAGAAAGTAGGAAAAAAATACAAAATAATAAACATTACATCATATTTCGAAATTTGTGCACATTAAAGGCAAACGAAATAATTTTCTTAAAATAAAATAGATAAATTAAATAATTAAAATTGTGCTTAAGTAAAAATGAAAAAAGTTTCAATCAACCTTTACGCCTGCGATGACCGTGGAGGTTCCACGCTCGATTAAACATTTATTAAAATATTATAAGATTTAAAAATGAATCAAGTTCGTTAGTTAACACCCGAACCCTTTATTCATCCACTGGGATAAAAATTTTAAAACAGGCTTCCAATGAATATTCACAAGGAGCCTTCATAACAAATAATTATATATATATATATATATATATATATATATATATATATATATATAACCAAGACGCATCTGAAATTATTTCATTTTCAAAGTTTTAAGCGCAAAAGTCATCCTTTTCATATTGTCCGCATTGAACAACTGCGCTGCTATAGTCAACTACTTGTTTATGCCGACAAAAGATGACTAAGAATACGTTAGCACAAGGCACTTTTAATTTGAGCTTCACTTACTGCAACATTTAATTGCCGAATGTCACAGTCTTTTCCATTGTGCAGCTGTTAGAAATTGGAGCTGCTTCTAAAAATGTTACATTTTCGCTTAGTGCACTTCAAAGCGTGACCCCACCGAACATTCAAGCCAAATTATATTTAACATGGGCAGCAATTTCTAAGAATGACAGAAAAAAATGAAAGAAAAGCGCGAAACGAACCACGCCCCCGTAATACATAGAATACGCCTTTTAATGAAAATGTGGCCCGCACATCAAAGCAGGCCAACGGATACGCGCCCGAACTGAGCCGGAGCTCATATTTACATTTTAAATAATTTCTTTGCCAGTGTTGGCCCAACAAATGCGACGTGTCAAGGACACAGAACCGCCAGCAACAGCAACAACAGCAACAACAACAAAAAGAATAAACAACAAAACGTATTCCAACGCGAAGTTAAAAGCATATGCTGCTAAAGTGGGAAAGGTTAAACGGTTACCAAAGAGCCCTGGCCAAAGATTTGAAGTTCATTTGTGTACATTAAAAATGCGAAGAGCAAATCGAATTTTGAATTAGTCCACGCCCACAATGAGACAGCGGCGGCTGCAGTTGTCGTCGGATTTGGGTCAGTTACAGGCTGCAACTCAGCTGACTGCGAGCTGTGAGCTTTGAACTGTGTTACTGGGGCAGAGTGTGGCGGCAGAAGCGGGAGCAGTAGCATATACTGGCCTGGTCTGGCCCGGCCTGGCTTGGCTTGGCTGCGACCTGGCCTCTTTTTCATCACACGTCACACGCAACACACGCCTTGTGACGTCACAGCTGCGACTGTGTTTTAAATGCAATTAACTGCGGCAATTGCAGGACAAAGTTGCGGCTCTCTCTCACTCTCTCTCTCTCTCTCTGTCTGTCTGTCTCTCTTCAAAGCTCTTTCTCTTCCAAGCGCTCTTTCCCACTCTCTTTAGGCAGCGCCTATTTTGGCTGGCTTCATACGCCCTGTTGCACATGTTGCGCATACGCATAGTTGAACTGTGCAGTAAATTATATTTGTATTTGGTTTGTTAATATGCATTTATTTAGGTATATTGTTGCTTGGTGTATGCAGTTACTATGTATATTTAATAATTGTCGTTTTTTTTTTCTTTTTTGGTATATTTATTGCTTATTAATATTGTATTTTCTTGCCTTTGATTTGCCTTGCTTGGTTTTCTGTATATACGAGTATAAGAGTGTAATTGCATTTCTTGTTTGCATTTATTGTTTAAATTTACTAATATTAAGTGTTTCGGTTTGCATTTAAATTCTTTACGTTTTGTGTTTGACTACAATACTTTTTGTGGGGGGTTCACTTGAAGCAATTTCAAACCAGGTCGAGTTCGAAGTACAATCTGTTTGTCGTACTCTCAAATAATTGCTACACATAAATACAGTCAGTCTCAATTGGCTTCAACAAATGACATTTTCAATGGCATTAGTCCAAAAACAATTTTATGTGTGCGTTTGTGCTTCTTATTCAACACCTTATTCAACTAAATAATTGCTAATGGCAGAACAACATACCACCATATCAAATGTAAATATATATTTTCATTATAATTCGAATAAATAAAGAACAATGCATTCAATGATAATGATCATGAAAACCAATAACTAAAGCAGAAGAATTATGTTTCAAACAATAATAAAAAGGAAAATAATATTTATGGAAAATTACAAAAGATAATTCGCTTTTCCAAGTATCATTTAAAAGGCAATTGTTTATTTTAACCAACAAGAAACCTTCATTTACGAGTTCCCACAACTACAAAGAATTTTGTATTATTTTATAAATTAATGAAAATATTTGTAAAAAATTATTACGAATTTTCAGTCAAAATGCAATTGTTTACAAATGCATATTTTCCCAAAAAAGACACTTCCATTTTCGAGCTCTACCTACTCAAAAGAACATAATATGAATGCAATATAAATTAGAATAAATATTTGCAATTTTCAATATATAAAAATGGTTTCTACTAACGCCTGTTCAACCAACAAAAAACACTTTCATTTTCGCATTTCTAACTACACAAAAAGTCGTTTAATCCCATTTATAGCCGCTACTAAGCAATTCGATTCTTTTTAACAATAAAACATTTGTGTAATATTTCTTTTAACTAATTTGAATAGTTTGATAATAATGAGTATGATATTTTCTTAAAGTTCCCTTTGCTTTTAATTCACATATGATATATATTTCATTTTTATGTTAATTGTTGTCGTTTATTTTGATTCTTTAATTGTGTTTTTAGTTATTTCAGTTGCTCTGACAAAAACTGTCATCAAACTTTTAAACATGTGCTGCTTTTTTTTCATGGTACTTCAGTGGTATTTGGAGATTGGCAATAAACAGGCCACAGCTTTAACATAGGGTAATTTTTTTTTATTAATTTAAAAACACATCCCTTTCGATCCTGAGCCTGTGCTAATTGGAAATTTTTCAGAATTCTATGTTGACTTAATTTCAATGAAATAAAATCGTAAAAGTTCAGATTAGATAAAAACCATGAAATCTTTTATAATATATATTTCAGATCGCAAGGAATATTAAAATCTGAGCTCTAGCGTAATTTAAAAGCTTCTTAGACTTTAAGTAAGTAAATACTACACTGCATTTCCTTTAAAACAAAGAAAATGTATTCGCCGATTTAAAATGAAGACCACTTTTTCCAAGCACTACTCAAATCTCAGAACTTTTCCAACTTTAGATTGATGCCCAAAAATATGGCGCCATAATATTGATGATCTCTTGTTAATAAAGGACCCTTTTTTTTATGACGATTTTGCGATGATTTTATGCTAATACGTGTAATATTTCGTTAACTTTCATTTGCTCTTAAATTCTATGAAGCATTTCTGAAGATTTTGTTACGTTACATTACGTTTCGTTTTTATATTGTGGCATTTCGCAGCTCCTAATTATATGCTACAAATACGTGTATGTTAACCCAATGTTGCAGGACTGATTTTCGGTTCGTTTACGTGAAACAACGTTTGATAAAATTGTGCCTTAGTTTGGCTACTCATTGGCGGCCAGGCTTCATCTAAGGCTGCCCAGAATGGGCAGTCAGATGTCGCCAGTGTTGCCATTGCCATTTGAATTGGCATTGACCTCATTGACCTCGACAGCCGCTTCAGTGGAGCTGCATGTGGTGGTTGCCTCGGCAACGGTTATTGTAATGGTGGTATTCTGATTGTCGCACTGCACCACCTCGATGGTGCGCGTATTGCTGGCGGTTGTTGTGGTCAGCTGACCGCTCTCCGCCTCGTTCAACTGACGCCCAATCTCACGATCAATGGCCTCCGCATCTTCCGGATAGCGTTCCGAGCAAAAAATGGCGCCCGCCTTGAGCAACTTCAGCAGATTCAGGCGATCCTCAGCATTGCGTTTGGCACAGAGCGGTCTGCAAACAGATGAAGGGAAAACATAAAAGATATATGAATGGATATGCAATTCAGATGTGAGGGCTTCAGTTTCATAATTATTAAATAGTAAATAGTAGTTATGGTGTTACCCGTCTTTGTCCGGCCGTAGTTTTTGATCTATAATTTAGATATCTCTTTAAAATCGAAATTTCATACAAATATGAGTCTTACATCATTTGATCCCCACATTTCTGTGAAACAACTTTCAAATGGATTTGAACTAAGAACTTTACGGAAAAGTATGAAACCGTAACTACCACAGTAGCGAGCAGATTTTTGCAATAGCCTTATCGGTTTGGCCTATGTCATCAGTCAATCAATCAGGCAGTCGAAATAGTAAGTAGTCTCAAAGTAACTTTTACTTACCTGCCGGCATCTTTGAGCTGTTCCATAAACTCTTTGCCAGTTATATCTACCAACGAGTTGGGGTCCATATTGGAGAGCGAGTCCAAGTCCGCATCGTTCATGACGGACACGTTGCACAAGTTGTTCTGCAGCTGGCCCACCAGCTGGCGAATACGCGCCGTCTCCGAGTTGTTGGCATCCGTGGTGTCGCCGTTGTCCGGATTGCCGGTGATGCTGCCATTGCCCGTGGCATTCGGTGTGGTTATGGTCACGTAATGGGTTGGCTATAAAGCATAAAGGATACATTTCAGTTAAAATTCGGGTACGTGATGTTCAACTCGCGACTGAAATTGAATTATGGCAACGGAAGAGTCGCGAGGCGCAAACAATAAAATACATTTAAATTGATTCTGAAACCAAGTTATGCAGCCATTTGACATAAATGCATAAGATATACTTTTTGGGATTATTCGTAAATGTAATTAAAGCAAAACAGAACTGGATGCTTCTCATGACATTTTTATTTAATTTGTGCTCAACGCACATTGCTGTTGATTGAATGCAAAAGCGGAATTTACGCTCTGAATTCCAATTTCGCATCAGTTTGACTTAAATCGAAATCAAGCAAGAACCAAACTAAAGATTCTTAATTGAATTATATTATAAAATAGCCTGCATAGATGCAGAGATTCGAAAATGTTTTGAATATTTGATGCACTTACATCGATCCAATGCTCGCCAGGAAAGACGGCCACCAGTTCCGTGTTCTCATCGAGTGTACGAAAGTATTCCTCATCGTCGATTTCGGTGCCATCGGAGTCCAAATGGATTGTTGGCTGTTGTTCACACTTGTCAAATTTCTCGGCCACCTTGGCGCGTATTTCCTCCAGGCTTGCGGCGCAGACGGCTTTTTTAATGTTGCGCGTGACGTCCTTGACCTAGCAGCCAGGCAGTAGGAGGCAGTAGGGAATGGTACAAGGATAGAGGGAATAATAAACAGTTACACGTTTGCAGTCACATATGTTAGGGACAATACACATTGAATGAATAATAAATTTATACAAAGAGATGAGCTGCTGAAACTTCTTAAGAGCAAAGAGACTTGACGAAATTAAGTTGAAACGGAATAGAGGAATGCATGTGCTGTTTTTAGTATTTCGCATGCATGTTTGTATAAGTATATTTTTGTGTATTTTTTCAAACTCTTTGCGGCTGTTTGCATGCGCCGAAAACTTGAGCACAGTTTGACATGCACTCGTCTGCCTGCCGCACAAATATTTGTCGTGTTTCCTAACAAGTTATGCCTGTCAGCAGTTTAATGCAGCATACTTTTGAGCGCATACCAGAAATACATGCCACAAGCAGCGGCAGCAGAAGCAGCTGCAGCACAAGGACATTCATCGCTGCCTGGCTCTATTAAACTTGCATGTTATGTTAAATGGCGCCTGAGCGTTAAGGTTAAACTGAACATAAATTAGATGTGGCCAAGACTGAGATGGAGAGAGAGGAAGTGGTTAAATAAGATATGCAACAGCATCAAAGGCGGCCACACGGCTGCTCGGCGAATTTATCACTCTGGCTGGCGATGTGCAACGTGCAGCTGCAACGAGCCTTCATAAATAATAGAGCAGGGCGTGCGAAATGAAATTGAAGTTCAGTTTGCATTACAACATTTTTATTACAATTACCCACGGAAAATAAAACCCGGGTAAAAGCAAAAATTCGCCTTCAGATCTCATCAGCTGAAACTCGCGAGCAAAACCCAAAGGACTGTGCAAGGACCTCGTTGAAGCGCCTGCGAATAAATTGTCTAGAAGCTTCAACATTGAAAACTTTTTCGGCGGCTCTTGCACAAAACTTACCCCAAAAATTAATCATATTAAGCCATAAACTTGGCAACAATCAAAACTTGCGGCAACTATTGAAGCGCACTTTGCAGGAAGCATTGTGCAAAGAATTAAAGAGATCTGTTTGTCGTTTATTATACCCTGTATTTAAGAAAATGGATAGAGCAAGGCTGAAAACCTGTTATTTTGTGTTTTTTGAATAATATAAGTTGTATCAGAAATTAAGTTAGTTAATAAGCTGGGATAAGATAATAATTATAAGAAAATCTACCTATCAACTGTCTACCAAAAAGGAAACACAATAGTATGTATACCTAAGTATAAGATTAGATCTAACTATCTTAACCATGAACTTCGAACCAATTGAAGGGTATTGGCTAGTCGAGCAGTTCATAAACACTCCCACCAGCTCACTTTTGTGTGTATGCCACGCAAACTTTTTTGGTCGATTCAATGTCGTTTTCACCGATTTTGACATTTTCAATTAGGGTAAGAAAAAACAAAACAAATGTGATTTAGTATGAAAAATAATTTAATTTACTGCAATTTCAAACTGCATTAATATATTGCACAGTATATTGATAAATATTATCGAAATTGTGGCTGCCGCGGTTGTTTGACATTTTCGACAGACTTTCAGGCCAAAAACCAAACATACGTTTCAGTTTATATGCATGATGGGATTACATACACAATTTGTCGATTGAAAAGGGTTTAAATGGATCCAAAAAATAAAAACATGCTGAAGCCTTGGCAATGCGGTAAGGTAGCAAATATTCTAATCAGTTTCTGCTAGTAAATGCCCGTGAGGGGGAGCAGCTAGTGATTAAGAGAGAGAGGAGATAATCTGTAACCGGAATCGAATTGCACACAAAAACATACACTCTGCGGTTGTGGTTTGTTTTCTTGTTTGAAAGTTTGTTTGAAAACTATATTCTTGAATTAATTCTGTATTTATTCTTCGGCATACAAATGTGGGTACTTGAAAGAGCTGAGAAACAAGAGGGACCCAGTTACAACTTTCACTGCCACAAATTGAAGCTGCAACCGATCAGAAATCACAGCTTATTCAGCTGTCGGTGCAGCTCAACTAGTGGGCAATCTTCAAGAGTGTCCTGGACCGCACCACGTAACACGTAACATATCCTGTCCACTGCTTAGCGTAGCTGCCAAAGTGGCGTCTGTGTTTACGTGACTGCGTCTCAGTTGTGGCAACAACAAAGCGGGCACTGAAGACGCATGCAGCTGCAATTGGAGGGCGAGGGTGTTGGATAGTAAATATTTGATGGGCCTAGAACGCAGATTTGAATGCCGCTGGGGAAATTAGGCGGCAAGTTTAAATTGCCGCTTGAACTACGGCTGCAAATTATGTAAATTGTTAAATATAATATTAATGCGGCTGTGGCTGTCAGTGTGGGCGTGGGCGTGGTCGTGGCATTTAATAATTACACAGACATGTCAGCTGAGAAACTTTTTTAATGGCATTCTGCATGGCTGTCTGCGTATTTAGCTTTTAAGCCGATTTATGCCTGGCGGGATTCTGAATTAATTATTGTAATAAGCAGCGACATTTTAATGGACCCATCACACTGACAGAGCCTGGGGAATTAGTAGTTGTTGTGTAGTTTACACACAGATCAAAAAGGACCTCGACACAAAGCGGCCACAGGAAACTTGCGAAGCATTTGTCAAAGGACGAAAGAGGAAATTTCTTTTTGCGGCTGCAGCATGGATTTACTTTGCTTTAAGCCGGGCTCTGTCCAGGATAAATAAAGGAAAAACGTTCTTTAAACGGCTTCGAGTTATTTAGACAGCGGCTAAACAAATTAGTTGACAACAAAGGCGATGCTGGCAAACAAACAAATGCCAAAGACAAACAGTTCCCAAGCGCTCCGAAACTAAAAAATAAAAAAAAAAAACAAAACAAAAAGGCACAACAAAAGCTGAACCCCAAAATTCATGTCAAGTATTTTTTGCATTTGCAAAGTCAAAGCAATTGTTGTGCTCTTTTTTTTTTTGTTTTCGCTCGCTCACCCTCTCTCCCACAATAGCTCTCTTGTGCTCTCGCAAATAAACAAAAGTTAACAGAGCTTTTACTCTCTTGTCGCACTCACAGCAACTTGAAGTTCACCCAGTTTTTATGTGGGAATTTTTAAATAGCGCAAATGCGAAACATAGCACGCGGTTATAAACGATAACAGCTACAACAACAACTGCGACACAACGCCCAAAATGGGCACGGCAGTGCATTGAAGCTGCAGTGCGGCAGAATTTTATTGAAATAAAAACATTTAACAAACTTACTTTGAATGGCTTTTTTGAGTCATTTGCTGTTATCTCCGTAGCGTTGGGCATTTTGATTATAATTAATTGTAATCTATACGATGTAGTTAATAGATTTCAAAATTCGTTTAAACAGTTAATGACACATTTGCAACACTGCGCAGCATTTGTTTGATTTTCTAAGGTTAAATAATTTAGTATAATTTGTTTGCACCTTTTTGCACACACAACAAACTGACAACAATTATTTCTTTGTGCAAACTGCGCTCAAAGTGTTTTTTTTTTCAGCTTTTCATTTATAATTCAAGCGCAGCCCGAGCTTTACGTGCAATTGGCAAAATCGCGAGCGAGCGCCGGTTTCAACTGAACTCTCTTTAACTCTGACGCTGGCTTTTATAGCTGTGGAGCAAAAGAGAGTAAAAAGCAAGCAATGGTAACTGACAGTGATGCCAGCTTGTGAGCGGTTAGCTTCGGCTCTAGCTGGAAAGTTGAATAAAACTCTTAGTGTGGCAAAATATAAATATAGCTTTTTAAAAGCCTAAGCTTTGTACTATTTATTTCAAGTAAATACTTTACTTATTTTGCAAAATGTATACAAATTATTCTTGACTTTACTAACTGAGAGCAGAAAACTTTGCAGTACTCAGCACTGTTGATGACATTACCGACGAGAGCAGAGAGCAAAATCAAATCAAAGCTTGCAAAGAGCGCTCAAATTGTAAAATGATGCCCCGCTCTTTGGCTTGGCCATTAACATGACGCTGTTAACTAAAACAGGTGCTCCTATGATTTTGCTAGAAAATTGGCGAAAAAGTTTTTAGGCATTGTGCTTTAAAGCCCAACGGAAAAACAATCACATTTTAAAACTAATTGCTAAGTTAGTTTAATATGGATCAGCCATGGGCCAACAAAGTTGTTGCCAGTCAATGCCTTTGGGCAGACCTTTGTATCCCTGACTATCCTGCCTGAGCTAAGTTAAACAGCACTTAAACAACGCTTAACTTTGCTCAACTAGCCAACACCCATTTGAATCTATGACGTTTACATCAATATCATCTATGTGTAGGTGTGTGTGTGTGTGTGTGTGCTATAGAATGAAAAGTAAACTTTTTGACAAATAGCCAAAAGGCATGAATGCCAAGCCCAAGCCCAAGCCCTTCCCTTATCCTCGCACCCACTCCCAGCCGGAAGGTAGCCAGTTGGTTGAGCAGTCTTATCCTTATTGCGCCTCATTGGCTGTGGACAGTGTGTGCCTTTGCCCCGTTTGCTGTCATTGCACTTGCAGCAGCAACAGCAGCAGCAGCAGCAGTCGACTGCCGCATATGCAGTTGGGCGGTTGGGCGGTTGGGCGTTGAGCTCAAGTGACTTGAAATGACATACAAGGACATCGCCTTTTAGGTGTTGCCAGTTGCCAGTTGCCGAGTCACGTGCGTGTGCCAGTGCATTGACCCAGTACGTCAGCAAACTTGGCCAAAATGGCTTTATGAATAGCCTCAAAGACGCGGCAGCCACTCGAAAGTTCCCATCAGAATTAAAAAGAAAAAACTCAGCACAGCATTTTTTTAAATGTAAACAAGGCTCAAGCCGTCCCCTATTCAGTGAGACATAAATAGAAAACCTGAGAGGGCTGAGAATAAATCAGGCAACGGAATTGCTTTGTATATGCTTCAATATTTGCATTCCTAAACTAATTGATAATCAACAAGTCTCAGATAAAGCATGGCCACAAATGCTCTTAACTTAATACCCTGTACGCTGTTAAAAATTGTAAAATCAATTATTACTTATATTAGAAAACCGCTTTGTCAGTTGTGCAATTAGGAACCATAATTTGTTATCTATTAACGTTTTGAATATATAGAAAATATAACTTAATCGAAGTGTTTCGACTGCTTTTTGATGTTCAATATCTGTCAAAATACCTATAAACTCTTTCCATAATAAGATTACGAGGTATTTATATGCAAAAGACAGCGCCCAATTTAACTGTCCCACGCTCGCTGCCTGGCCATAACTTTTTTGTTTACACAAAGGGCGCACAAGCGTAACAAGGTTAATCAGCAATTTGATAAGACTGACGCCCCCTATTAAGATACAATTAAGCAGGAAGGCGGCTTAAGCCGTCTTTGGCTAGCCCGCAAGTTAACAGCGCTTCGAATACGCTCTTAACATTTACCCCTCGCTGTTAATAAGCACGCGTCTGCTATTTAACAGTGGAGCTTTGCCTAACGCATGCCTCTCTGCCACTTCACTTTGACATTCGCTGCTAGCTTCATGAATATGTTAAAATTTACGCAAATGCTGTGAAAGTGAAGCAGGACGACTGGGCGCTGGTTGGGCGTGGCTGATGGCGGCTCTAAATAGGAATTTACAAGCAGACGTTGCCAAAGTTTTAGCCCATAACATTTATCAGGGCGTCATTTGGTTGTTGGGGCGCTCATTGAATGGTGGTGGGTGAGCGGGTCACGTAGACCGCGACCCCACACGTTCATTGAACTCCGCGTACACAGTTTTAGATTACAAACATAAACATACAGTTTATTCTCTTTGCCTCCAGTCATATACATATATCTAATCTCTAAAAGCTTTTACTAGTAGTTCTCTAGTATCAGCTTGGGTACCACATTCATGCTGGTGAGCTCCTGGAAGAGCAGTTTGCAGGCATACGGCATGGATATCTTGGAGACATGCGCCGACGACTGACAGAAATGGCACCAGGAGCAGTAGGCCAATCTGCCGCAGGTACGGCATACATCTACCTCAAACGCGTCGGATGATATCATGAGGCGTTCCATTATCAGCATGCTTGCTCCATAAGATATAAGACAATCGCGTTCCATTTCGCCCAGGCGCAGGCCGCCTTCCCGACTGCGACCCTGAGTGGGCTGGCGAGTGAGCACAGCCTTTGGGCCACGTGCTCTGGCATGCATCTTGTCCTGCACCATGTGCTTCAGCTTCTGGTAGTACACCGGGCCCGAGTAAATGTACGCCTCTAGTGGTGCACCCGTTATGCCCGAGTAGAACAAATCCTTGCCCATATAGTTGAATCCATGACGCACCAGCTCCGCCTGCACATCCGCCGCCTTAGAGCCACCAAATGCTGTGCCATAATGAAATTTGCCCTCCAGGACACCAGCCTTGCCGCCTAAGAGCTCCAGAGTCTTACCCACTGTCATACGTGAAGGAAAACCATGCGGGTTCATAATCATGTCCGGACATATGCCAAAGTCATTAAAGGGCATGTCCTCCTGATCCACAATGAGTCCCGTAACACCCTTCTGTCCATGCCGCGAGCTGAACTTATCGCCAATCTCCGGTATGCGCGTCTGACGCAGCAATATCTTGATAAGGAAGTCCTCCTCAGCGTTGGCCGAGACCATCACACGCTCAATATAACTGGGCTCAGGTCCCTTGTAGCTGATGGGTACAGCAGTGTAGGGTACCTGGGCAGATTGACCTAAAGGCAAAGTTTACAAAGTACTATATATATTAGAAGTTAACACATATATTTTGGCACTGACCTTCGAGTGGATTGATGGATGTCACCGCTGGCATTTCCTTATTAATCATAATTTGTTTATTTAGCACCTGTTCGCCAGGTGCGACAATGCCATCCGTGTCCAGCACATCATGCTTAAAGATTACCTTGTTGGTCAGCGCATCCTTAACCGGCCCCATAATCCTGTCAAATGTCTGATTCGCATAACGCTTTACAGTGCACTTGGAGTTCTTATAGACCAGACAACGCCCGTAGCCGCGATCAATCGACGCCTTGTTTAAGATGAGCGCATCCTCAATATCATAGCCGGAGTAGCTCATTACAGCCACCGTGGCATTTTGCCCAGCAGGCAGCTTGTCAAAGTTGGTCAACTCAATTGTGCGTGACTTGACCATTGGGGCTTGCGGATAGACCAAGTTGTACATGAGGGAATCGATGCGATTCTTTTGATTGTAGCCAATCATGCCCATGGCTTGTTTACCCATGGCACATTGATAGGTATTACGGGGGCTCTGATTGTGATGCGGATACGGCACCAGACCAGCACAGACGCCCAGCAATGTGAAGGGCTCAATTTCCAGATGCGTTGTGTGCGGCTCAATGTGCTCCTCGTTCCAGGCAATAAACGAATCGTTCTCCTCATTCACATCCAAGTACTCAATCAGTCCGTCATGCAGAAAGTCGTCAAATTTACGTACGCCGCGCAGCAGCTCATCCAGATGACGCTGCTGCACCAGGGGACGCGATTTCTCGACTATAATATATGGACGGCACAGGCGCCCACCGTCCGTATGTATGAAGATGCAGCGCTGCGTGTAGGAGGTGTGTATGGAGACGAAGCTACCCATGCGTCCCTTGCGGCGCATATAACGCAAATTGTGCACCAGATGACGATGATTAATGGTCAGGCCCAGAACGTTGCCATTGATGAAGACAAGAAAAACGTGCGGATTATTAATGGGATTGCCGCTAACTTCGCGTATATCCTCGACGCCGGCATTGTAGGCCAATGTCATCACTGGGCGTTCGTCCACTTCGGTAGTTATGTGCGTCATTAGCGCCAGATTCTTAACCAGGCCGCAAGCCTCGCCCTCGGGCGTATCCGAGGGGCACAGCATGCCCCATTGACTCGGCTGCAGTGAACGCGGTCCGGACACCTTGCGCGTCTTCTCAAACTGGGAGTTCACACGTGTCATCATGCCCAGCGCCGAAATGTAGCTTAGCCGCGATAGCACTTGGGTAACGCCAGCGCGTTCCATTTTAAAACGTTTGATCGTCCAATTTCCGGAACTAATCGCGGACTCGAGGCCAACGGTGATCTGTGCCGCTCTCATATGCTTGACCACATCAAACTGTGCCGCCTTCACCTTGGGTATATTCTTGTCCGCTATCATCTTTAGCTCCCAGTTCATACGCTTGAACAGATCCTCAAACATTAACGAAATCAACGATCCGGCCAGCTCCAATCGTTTATTGCCATAATAGTCGCGATCATCGAATAGCGTTTTGTCCAGCTCCGCGGCCATCACTCGACGAACCATGAGCGATACATAAATCGCCTTCATTTGAAAGTTGAAATTGTCGACGGGCACGTGAGCCAGAATCGTGGTCAAAAGCAGCTCACGGGCCTCCTCCGAAGGTGTTTTGTTGGTGGCGCTCTGAAAACGCTTCACCACCAGCTTGGAGCCTGTGAAGACACGATAAACAAAATGATTTAAGTATATATTTTAGCTGTGCATTAGTGCAACTCACCCATGTAGTCCAGGGCACGCTGCTGTGTGAAAACCTTCAGATTGAAGGCTTCCAAAAGGGAGGCTCCAAAGCGATTCTGGGAACGCGCATCTAAGCCAATGTGAGAC